TTTGGAGAGGCATGACAAACATTTGATTATAGGGAATGGCTTCTCCTTGCTGAACATTATCTAAGTCAGGGCCTACCTCTGTTCATTTTGGGATATCAAGCGGACTTAATTATATTTCCCCTTTTCATTAATGTGTTAATGGCAATGCCAATTTCATTTGATAAATAACCTCTCCCAATGAACTGTGTATACATACACAGAGAACAAAAAGAAAAGAAAAAAAGAGGGGATTGGTGTTTGATATGATCCTTTTCAACTTGAAGTCTTTCAACCACATTGACTATTTAGTTAGGAGGGAGTAAATTACCCCCTAAGAGAATGGTGTCAGGTGGTTTGATTATATATCTTGACAGTCCTGAACACATCAGAAACAATTGTTTGCATCTTGACCCACTTACCAGGGTATATATGGTTCCAAGGGTTTGCATCCTAGCCATTTTCTTCCTGGGAATGCATGTAGGCCCTGTCATGTTTATGTCTGGCACTGGTGCCTCCCATTTGAGACTTTTCTGTTTACAAGTCCAAGAAACAATTTTCATTCTTCCTAAAGACTATAAGAATTTTTATTGATCTATGACTCTAACAACAGTGGTGTAAATGTGAAATTGGACCTGTCTTATATTTAATTATTGTTATTAATTTTGATATTGGTGGGTTTCTCTCCCACTACTTCCTTGTTTTTATAGTAGGTATTAATTCATCTGACCTCGTTTACAGATAAACATATATAAGACTTTTTTTTAATTGATTATATTTTAGAAGGCGGGAGATTTTAAGCATGCAAACAGTTTTTTTAAACATCAAGAGACAGCTCATTTCTTTATCTTCTTATTTTTTTGCAATTAATGAGGTTTTACAACAAAAGGATTTGACATAATTAATGGGCATCATTAGTGTAGTCCATTCTTTTAGACAGATTGAAAGAAATAGCAAATTTAAAAATAAAAACTGATGAAACCAATAATTGTGCCTCTCATATTTGTAAAATATGTGTCTAATTTAGCAGGTTAATATGATTTTTTAATGTGCTTGTTTCTGGCTTAATTAACCAAAGCTGTCTAATTAATTTCAAATATTCAGGTGGTTAAGAAAACTTAAAATGATTGGGAAATGCACAGAAACTAGAGTGAAATATCAAACTCTGTCCCCTAGTTGAACCAAGTAAAGAAAAGAAATTTCTTACTAACCCATACATCTTTTCTCCTCTCTAATTAATATATAACCTTCATTATTTTACAAATCTTTAGGATAAATGAAGAACCACTTGTCTAAACACTCCTGGTAGATTAACTATGGCTTTATATGGACACATGAGCACAGCACTGAGTGTCTACAGATAGTTTAGATCAAAGAAAGAGGCTGAAAAACTGTAAGAAACATATCAGATCAAAAAGCCCTAAAATTAAAGTTATTTCAATGGAGGGATATGTCCCTAGGCACTTCTTTGTACTCAGGAATGTTACTATATCACAATAAAGACAGGGTGTCAGGAGGCAGGCCTAATCATCAATATAATGTTTAAACAGGTGTGCCTTTAAAAGAGAGTACATAGGGTTTGTCCTCCTTATTTGTGGCATTGTGGACTTCTCCCTGAAGTCCCTCTGAACACTGACTTAGAGACAGCAGACTGTGCATTGGGACTTGTGCATGAAGACTAAAAGTGTTTGCTACCCTGTGCATTTCACATGGCCCGAATGACCACAAAAATGCTGTGAATATTGACTTGGGGTTTACAAATACATTGTAGCACACAGGCATGCTTACAAATAAGGAATAATGTGAATCAACTGCATTTTAGCAAGTTTTATCCAGAATACTTTGGAAAATAATCTTTGGATCAAGTTAAGTGTTAACCTCTCTATATGTAAAAAGTTTATTTATCCAGAATGACAAATTCTCTCAAAGGTCCCCATAGCAGAGTTTTCTATACAAGTGGGGTTCAAAAATTTCTGTTAAAAATGGGATTAAAGGATAATAGAATTTTCCCATTAACTTTTTAAGGTTCCTTAGACTGTATATTTTAATGTATTAAAGTTATAACCTGTTTGTTGATGAATGCTTCCTCAAATACATGTATAGTGCAGACATCTGAGTATGGCTGGTCGGATGAGAACCGTAAACCTAATGGCAGAATTGACTGTGGCTGGAGAGGCGGACTTGGGCCAGTAATCAGAGCGACCTTATAGAACAGAGTAGAACTGTCCCTGTAGGTTTCTGAAACTGCAAATATTTACTGAAGTAGAAAGCTTCCTCTTTCTCCCAAGGAGTAGCTGGTGGTTTTGAATAGCCCACTGTCTCACCCGGGTTCTTCATACTAATCTTCCCATTTTAAGTGCATGGCTTATTGATATGATAGTGTGTTTTCTTTTGTTGCATTTTTATTATGTGGTTTCCTATCATCTCATTTAAGTCTTTTAAACCTTTACTTTTTTAGAAGCTGCTGCTTCAAGACAAGGAAATATGCACACTTTGTCAAAAGACGGTTTATCCAATGGAGTGCCTCGTAGCAGACAAGCAAAGTTTTCATAAATCTTGCTTCCGATGTTACCACTGCAGCAGTAAACTAAGGTAAATGCTTTGATCGCTTGTGGCACAAGTATTTTTGGTATTCTTTGACTTGCAATTGCTCTTGACTCCCTCATCTCCTGGCTATCATTTCTCTGTCTGTATTTATCTGTATGTCTCTTCTCTTTTGTTATACACCACTCAGATGAGATCCGGGCATACTCTGCCCCCGAGGGACAGGTGTTAACTGATAACATCTTCAAAGTCCCTATTTCCAAACAAAGGTCACCTTCACACATGCCAAAGATGGGGCCTTCAACCTCTCTTTCTGTGTCAGACAATTTAAACTATAAAGAAACTGCATGTTTGTTTTGTTATCTAGTTGATTTGTGTTTGCATAGAGATACAGAGAAATTAAAAACTGCTGGTGCCACCTACTAACAAACACTCTATGTATTGGTCCCCCTAAGAAACTAGATAATTAATTGCATAAGCAGGATTTCTGATCCATTCAAAATCCAGTTAACTAGAAAGTTCAAGTTGTTGAGTTCATGGGTGTGTCTGTGTGTGTGTCTGCATGCATGCTACACTCAAGAGTTATTGAAAATTGCAACCCTTCATGTAGCTCAGTAATGTCGCACGGGGGAGCCCTAGGCTCTTGTATCCTCTATTTCTACACGTGCATCTAATCTAAGGTGATCAGATTTTAACATTGGTAAAGCAGGACAAAAGCGGGACACCATTGATAAAACTCATATCCTGGCGAAATAGCCACATGGCAGCCGAAAACCGTATACCCTGGCTTGTTGTGCATTCTTTCCAAAAATCAGGACTTTTTTTAAATGCCGCGGGACGCAGGAAAAATTGTTCAAAAGCGGGATGTCTGGTTAGCATCCCACTTCCTGACTTACATCTTGACATCCTACAAACTACAACAGACACAGCATGTAGGATACTGATAGTAACTATTATCTGATAGGAATGTTTCATTGATAAGGACATTCCTATGGTCAGCATGTCAATTATGCTGACTTGTTGAAATAGCAAATTCCCTATGAATTTTCCATTAAATATATCGATGCTAAATCTTTTTTTTTTTCTTTCCGTTTTTGGCAGTTTGGGAAATTATGCATCACTTCATGGAAAAATATATTGTAAACCTCATTTTAAGCAGCTTTTCAAATCTAAAGGAAATTATGATGAAGGCTTTGGGCATCAACAGCACAAAGACAGATGGAACTGCAAACATGAGAGCAGCCCTATAGACTCTATTCTACACGAAGAACCAAATACGTGTAAAAATCAGGCAGCGGACACCCCTATACTTGGAGATATTAAGCATGTAGATTCTACTAACAATGAAGTGCAAAGGGATGATCCCAGGAGATTTGGGGAGAGGGGGAAATTAAAGATCATTTGGCCCCCTTCCAGGGAGATGCCTAAGAAAGCCCTCCCTCTTGAGGAAGAGCTGAAGGTAAATAAACCCAAATGGCCACCTGACAAGACAACTCCAACAGCCCCTGAAATGCAAAGAGAACCCGTGCGAGAAGGGGCTAACACTCTGGAGAAGAATGAACAAGAGCAAGAGAGCGTATCTTTCCTGCAGCCGTATCTGCAGTCCATTCTTCTGTTTCAGAAAGAGGAAGGTATCGGAATCCCAGAGACGAGAATGCATGAAGCCCGAAGAGAGGAGAAGCAGGAACGGAATAAACACGCGCAAGATCAGCGGAAGGAGCCGGAGGAGAGAGAGAGTAGGAGGAAAAGCGAAGTGGATCTTAAAGACCCCAATAATGCGGATGTGCAGAGCCCTGCAAAGGAGAAAAATGGCAAAATGAATGAACCCGATGGTGCAGAAGTTTTACAGGTGGCGAACACAGATGATGAGGTGGTGCTGGAATATCGTAAAGAGAATTTGAATAAGAATAATAATAACAATTATGTAGCCATCTCGGAACTGAATAATTGTAGGCAGGAGACATCTATTTTAGAGTTTCCTAATCTATTACCGCTGTCAGGTGAAGCAAAATACACCGCAAGTGAATACGAAATTGAAAAGTTAGACACCACATCTAGGATTTCAGAGTTACTTGATATATTTGAATCCGAAAAGACTTATTCAAGAAACGTACTAGCTCTGGCTCTCAGTAAGCAGACTCACAGAGCGACTGCTGGCAGTCCTGTGCCGTCTGCCCCCGAGCCTGCCCTCCACAGTGGGCTAAGCATAAAGGGGAAAGATTCACTAGTCCCCTCTGATACAAAGAGATTAAACATCAGAAGTAATCACTCTCGCAAAAATGTACACCTCTTCTTTTCTAACACTGTGAAAATCACTGCTTTTTCCAAGAAAGATGAGAGCATTGTTGAGCATAGTTTAATAGATTCTATAGATCAAATTAAAAATATGCCATGCTTGTATTTGAGAGAATTTGGGAGGGACATTAACCACTGGCATGGGAAAACAAAGGGAGGAGCCCACGATAAAGGAAATAAAGGGGTTGATGCTCAGAGCGGTGAATGTGCAGCTCAGCCTTTGTTTCCCAACGTGGAGATAGGATCTGAACACCTTTCTGTGGAGGAGCAAATTAAAAGGAATCGGTGCTACAGTGATGCTGAGTGAAATACCATTGGCTGCTTGCAGCACACTCTCAGGCACTGAGCACCAGTGATGCCCTTACGCAGAATGTTTGGGTTTTGATAAATGCTTTTGTTGAATTTGTTTGTAAACATAATGTTCAGAGATCCCACATCAATCACAGTGGAATATGTCTTGCATTACAGCTTATGATTTTTTCACAATTTGCTTGAACCTACTGTGCTTGTTTTTCTGGATGAAATGAACAGTATGCTATGTTATCCTCAAAAATAACACTTAAGTGTACTGCTCTGTTTTTCTACAGGCCAGATAACATCTTTGATGAGATTCTATACTGTTGATATTTATCGCAATTCCTACACCTTCTTTATAATTTCTGCAGAAATAAAATTAAATCACCTGAGGTTCATACAAAGAAAAAACGGGTCTGAAACTTTTTTCCATTTGTTTTGTCATTCTAACTAAATATGTTCTCCTGTTTTATGAACATTTTCTTGGGGGACAAGTATTCACCATGTCTAACACACAAGAGTCTTGGAGGGGGAAAGTAGTAGAAGGCCACACTTTTACCAGAAAACATAAATTTCATATTTTCTTTTGTTTGTATTTCAAAGACATAATCCACTGCCACCCCAGTAGATTCTGGCTCATGGTGATCCAATATAGGAATTCCACGGACTGTAAATCTTTACAAGAGGACGTAGCTTTATCTTATTTGCTAGGATCAGCCAGTGGGTTTGAACTGCCAACCATTCCCTTCGCAGGCCAGTGCTTATCTCACAGTGACTCTTTAAATGATTACCCACATAAAAATAATGACCGTGGACAAGATGGATTAACACAGTGGCCACAACAATAGGCTCAAAGGGAACAACAATTGGGAGGATGGTGCCCAAGTGGGCACTGTTTGATTCTGTGGTACATCATGCTGCTCTGGGTTGGAACTTACTTGATGGCACTTAAGGACAACAGAAACAAACAAACACAAGAACAACAAAAACAAAAATTATCTCGAAGCAAATTTTTAAATGCTGTCTATTTAACACCAGACTTATGTGGGGTGCCCAACCAAAAAATTAAAATAAACCAAACAAACTCATTGCCATAGAGTTGATTTCTGCTCCTAGCAACCCTGTGGGGCACAATAGTACTGCCCCCTGAGGTTTCCATGGCGTAGGATCCTTACAGAAGCCGAGCAGCCAGTGGATTCAAACTGCCAACTGTTCAGTTACCAGCAGAGTGCACTAACTACTGTGCCACCAGGGCTGCATGTGGACTCCTTGCCCACCAATACACTGAACGAGTAAGCTTTCAAAGGGAAGTAAAGTATTCCCCTGGCATTTTTGTTGCGTCCTTTATTTAACTGATACATACACAAATTGTCTGACAACAATTTTTGGCATGCCTCTTTCTTAACTGCAATGACTATCAAACCTAATGATATATATTCCTCTGCATAAACACAAGTCATTTCCTTTGTCTAAGTGCAAAACCAAAACATGGTGCTTAAAATTATGTCCTTTTAGAAAGTATGACAAATTTCCTCTTGCTGGTAACATCTCCACAGATACCTAAGCCCTACATTTGTTTACCCAATTTAATAGCATTCTGTGCAAATTAAAGGCAATGTGTGGGCTTCTAATGCAAAACTCTTTACTCAAATGGTTGTATTGCATTACTTTTCATGCATTTTTAACAACACCATAGTAATTTATGCTAAGATAACACAAGTGTTTCCATGGAGAAGGAAATAGCTTATGAAAGATCATGACATAATATTTTAATGTACATTTTCTTAATGCCAATGACTCTTTTATCAAAATGACTCTTTCTTTATAAATATTCTCTCTTGCCACTTTGCCCACTAAATCTTGGTAGCTCAATTCACCACTAAATCATATTACAATCTGAGATTAAAAGAAGCTAATATCCACATCAGGGGAAGCAATGAAAACATATGAGTTCTTCTTTTTTTTTTTTTTTGGCCTTCATTTAGTCAACAAAATATTTTTTAAATCTTCTTGATCAAACATAATATTACAACTTTTGGCTGTGTCAACTTCTTTAGATGATACATAAGATTATTTTAAAAATTCAAATTTCCTTCTGAAATCCAATATACTTTGATTAATGAGTATTGGTTCACTCTACCTATGATGAAATCTCCCAGCCAAATACATAACACGCTTTTGAAGTCAAAATATAGCTGACCACAAAAGTCAAATATTCAATTACACTTTCTTATTGTTGCAGACAGAAAGCACATATCATCTTTAGTTCTAGTTTTTTAACTACTTACTGCCTAGTATAATTAAGCAATGTCATTATAATATTCCACTTCGATTTAATGTCATAGAATTATGTAATGAATATTTTATACTGTGTGCATACTCTAAAACTTACTCAGAATTATGTTATATAGAACTTTATAGTATATATAGCCAATGCCATCAAATTGATTCTGACTCACCCTATTGGACAAGGTAGAATTGCCTCTGTGAATTTCCAAGACTGTAACTCTTTACAGGAGTAGAAAGTTCCATTGTTCTTCCACAAAATGGCTAGGGGTTTCGAACTGCTGATCTTGCAGTTAGCAGCCTGACACACACCACTATACTACCAGGGGTCCTTCAAGTATATGGATATATAATATAAAATACTATTTTCAGAAATAAAATGATCTTGAAATGGAATCAAGATGAGGCCATGGTAGACCAATCCCCATACATAAGAAAGCTGTGTGATGGCAAAGCTTGGAATATAAGGGGTTTGGCCTTATTTATACAAGACTTGCATCTTCCAGTGAATCTTATAAAATGATCAATCCCCCAGAAAATTGAGCCGAATTCTCTTTGGCAGCTTCCACACTATCAATCCTTGTGACAGATTTGGGGCTCTGTGCATCAGTTTCTTTGGCTTGGAACAATGGTTTTCCCACAGTGCTGTAAAAGTTATGTAGAATGCAAACTTATCACTCTTCCCTGAATGTGCAACCAGCCTGTGAATCAGACATGTGGTCCCTCAGATTAACAATTTTCTTTAAACATCTCTAGAGTAATTTCTAAAGGTACATTAATTTTTCAGGGAAATTGAAGGTAGTTAAAAGAACACTTTCTCTACTCTCCTTTGATAGTTACTCACTCCTGGTTCCTGTCCAAATGAGGGGTAGGCAAGTTTTGCCACTGCCAGGAAAATGAACTTACAGAAAGGTCATCGCAGAAGCTGAAATGAAAAAAAACAAAGAACTTTCTTTCTCTATGGCAATATTATTGAGATCTCCAAATCTAATGTAAAAGTTTTTAAATGTACAGGTATTAAGAGTAATATAAAATCTTAGAAAAACCCCATCTACATGGAGCTCCGAAAGCGACTACAGGCATGATGTGCAGACTTAAGAGCCTTGGGAGCAAATGAGAAATGTGGCAAACTGCTGCGCCTCAACCTCCTGGAAATTAAATCTCAGAGAAGGAGGGAATTTTCTTCTTAACTATAATCTGCAAGTAATTTAACTGCAACCTTAATATGGTCCTGTGAAAGGGCTAATTTAAGCTTCCCAATGAGATCTATCTACTGTGGGCATGTTTCCTCCTAAATATAATGAGACATTTTTA